TTCCAGACTGTTATAAAAAACACACTGCCCAGGATGTCGACAATTTTGTCGCGAACTTGAGGGCGGACAAAAATGTCACCTAGTTGTCACGAAGCTACTTGCGCCCACCTTCATATTAACTCACAGTCTGGACTAGAGTGACAAAACAGTCATAGTGACAAAAGTCACTCGTGCACTCACTAGACAGGGGACAAAATCACAGTGAACTGTGATTTATAATTCCATTTTTTTCGTATGTAGATTAGGGTTACTACTTACTCATGCGTAATTGCCAAAAAGCTGTTTTCAGACGATGTATAAAGAATAGTGTCTTCATTCGCCTATATAATAGTAAATCTAGTAATTATTTTATTATATATACAGCTACTATTCCCGAAATAATAATTAAAAAAATAATAGATTTACTGTTAAATTGCGTCTATCCTACCTACCTAGCACCCCTAACCTACGTACACAAAAATCGAATGATAAATCACAGTTCACTTACTGTGATATTATCCCATGTCTAACGCGCACCTCTAAAAGTTTTGGCAACACTGAACACTGAAACTGTTTAGTTGTCAAACGCCATTTTCTACAGCTAGGTTTTGCTAGCTGAGTTTATTATTATTGTCTTTTTATCAATAATATTAATGGTCAGTGGATCGTTCCTATAGGCTTATTTCAAAAAAGTCTTTATACAGTTATAAATAACTCATGAATGATTAATACAACAACTCTTCTTGTTTAAAAGTGAACTTCCTGTGGGGCTTTTAATGTTTTAATATTTTTATGATTTTATCGTGGTAGATCATGTCTGTGAGTGAGAAAGTTTCGTTATCGGACGCTCTGAGCAATGTGGATGTGTTGGACGAGCTTACATTACCAGGTGAATACGTATTTTAGTTATTAATTATGATTCATATTGTCTTAAGCAGTAGGTGGGGCCGATATAGATAATTACTAAAGGATGTGTTTTTTGTATCTATGGAGGGTTATTACCTAGGCAAATACTGCTTTTAATAAGTTTAGTCTAATCAAATTAGTTCATCACAGTCAAATATTGGTTACACACACACATTTGTACAATTTTAGACTTGTTTTTTGTTGCAGTAGGTATTTTTTAAGTTTGTATTGTTTTTATAGTATTGTTGCGGGAATGCTGACGCAACGTTTTGAGTTATCGGGACTGTAGTGCGCTGTGAACCACAGTTGTCCCGTGGTCGTCTTGTATACCGTACTACAGCACACCCATATATATGGTATACAGTCGTGATTAATAAATTTAAATAAGTTGTTCATAGACTTATTATTTCTCTCTGTACATATACGCAACCCCAGTAATAAAGGAACAAAGTAACGACCAGTTACAAAAGTGGTGACCCCGACGTGATCTGTGATTTGGTAATTTTAAAGAACTTTTGTGATATTGTGTACAGATTGAGACTGTTTAGAACGGGCAACTCACTTGTGCTGTAGTGTTGTTTTTTAATATCGGTACTTATACGAGTCGTGATTACGTTAAACATGCCTACCGAAGAAAGAAAAATAGCCACCGAAGAGTATCATTTATCCACTATCTCCGTCACGGCAAGAATACCTGAGTTTTGGAAGAAGTCGCCGAAAACCTGGTTTATTCAGGTAGAAGCAGTACTACAACCGCAGAAGATGTCTGATGAAGCGAAATATCAAGTCGTTATATCGAAATTAGGCCAAGAAGTTATAGAGCAGATCACAGAAATTTTATTAAATCCGCCAGAAAAAAATAAGTATGAAAATTTGAAACAAAAATTAATATTGATTTACCAGGAGTCGGAAGAACGACAAGTAAAGAAACTAATAGGCGAAATGGAGTTAGGAGACCAGAAACCATCGCAGTTATTGAGAAAAATGCAGGACCTAGCTCGCAATAGAGTCACCAACGAGACACTAGTGGTGATGTGGCAAAATCACCTACCACCATCAGTCAGAGGAGTATTGGCTGTGACAAATGAAGATGATTTAGAAAAATTAGCAACTATCGCGGATAAGGTAATGGAGACCGCGACGCCAATACCCAGTATCGCTGCGGTGGAAGGAAAATCGCTGACCTTGAATAAAGACGATTTGGTAATAGCCCACCTTGATAAAATAAGCGAAAGACTTGAAAAATTAGAAACTAGATCAAGAAGGCACTGGCAGAAAGGTAACAGAAGGCGTTACGGATCAAGATCGCGATCGTCATCAGAGTCAAGGACGCGTGGGAAGACACCTGAAGATCCCAATTGGTTGTGTTACTATCATTATCGATACAAGAATCGGGCAAATAAGTGCGTCCAGCCGTGCAACTGGAAGAAAGATGTCAAGCCGTCGGAAAACTAACGTCGGTGCAGCCGACGACGGGAGGCTGTGGCCGCGTAGATTCTAACAACCGTCTTTGTGTGATGGACAGGAAAACAGGTTTAACTTTCTTAGTGGATAGCGGTGCTAATGTGTCTGTGCTACCCCGCAGCATAGCATATATTAAAGGTAATAAAAATAATGTACGTTATAAATTGTATGCCGCGAATGGAACCGAGATTAATACATATGGTACGCATTGTTTAGAGTTAGATCTTAACCTTAGAAGAGCTTTCCGTTGGTTATTTATATTAGCGGACGTACAGCAACCAATATTAGGTGCTGACTTCTTAGCTAAGCATAAGCTGTTAATTGATTTGAACGGACGAAGATTAATCGATCAGTTAACTAATTTAAGCATTAGAGGTACCATTTCGAGTTCAACTGAGTCCACTGTAAAGACAATTGTTGATAATTGCCCTTATTATGATTTATTATGTAAGTTTCCCGAGTTAACTATGCCTGTTTCATATAAGGAGACACCTAAACATGGCGTTTGTCATCACATAGAGACCACAGGACCACCAGTGCACGTGAAAAGTAGGCAGCTACCACCAGACAGGTATGTAAAAGCTAAAAATGAATTAAAGTTATGCAAGAGCTTGGGATTTGTAGGCCGAGTAATAGCGCTTGGGCAAGTCCTTTACATATCGTGCCAAAGAAGGATGGAAATATTAGACCTTGCGGTGATTATAGACGTTTAAATTCGATTACTAAACCGGATCGTTATCCAGTTCCCCGTCTTCACGATTTTATGTATAATTTGTCGAATAAGAAAATATTTACGAAGTTAGATATAAATAGAGCATATAATTGTATACCCGTAGCCGAAAATGACATTGAGAAAACGGCTGTCATAACACCTTTTGGGTTATTTGAATTTATGCGAATGCCTTTCGGATTGCGTAATGCAGCACAAACTTTTCAGCGCTTTATGCACCACACCGTCTTACAAGGTTTAGATTTTTTATTTAATTATTTGGATGACGTAATAATTGCCTCAGATAATGAAACCAAGCATAAACAGCATTTACTTAAAGTTTTTGAAAGATTTAACGAGTATGGGATAACAATTAATTTCGCTAAATGTAGTTTCGGAAAGACAAAATTAGATTTTTTAGGTTACGAAGTCACAACTGAAGGAATTATACCTTTAACGGATAAGGTTAAAGCTATTATTGATTTTCCAAAACCTAACACTATTGAGGAACTAAGAAGATTTATGGGTATGTTAAATTTTTATAGAGCACACATACCGCATTCGGCAGCCCACCAATTACATTTATATAAGTATTTAAGTTCTTCTAAACGTAAAGATAAAAGTAAAATTAATTGGACAATAGAGGCCGAACAAATTTTGAACAATGTAAGGAAGATCTTAAAAATGCTGCATTGTTAGGTTATCCATCTATAGACACACCGTTCTCATTAATGACAGATGCGTCAGACAATTGCGTAGGTGCAGTATTACAACAAAAAATTGCTGACAAATGGAAACCTTTAGGTTATTTTTCTAAAAAGTTAACAGAAGTGCAAAAGAAATATAGCACGTATGATAGAGAACTTTTAGCAATTTATTTAGCCATAATTCATTTTCGTTATTTAATTGAAGGTCAAAATTTAATTATTTATACTGATCATAAGCCTTTATCTTTTGCATTTACGAAATCAGGTACAAATAGAGAAACATCAAGGCGGGCCAGGCAAATCATGTTTATTAGTGAATTTAGTTCTGATATAAGGCATATTAGTGGTCAAAATAATATTGTAGCGGACACATTATCTAGAATTGAAACAATAACAAGTCCCACGATTATCGACTTCGCAGAACTGGCAGTTGCGCAGGAAGTCGACGAACAGCTTGCAAAAATTCTTAGTGAATCGGATAACAACTGTAAGTTGATATTTAAGCGTGTAACTTTAAATGTACCCAATAAGCATGTTGTTTGCGAAACATCTACTAATAACATACGTCCTTATTTACCGGAACAATTTAGGCGTTTAGCTTTTGATTCGATACATAACTTGAGCCATCCAGGCATTAGAGCTAGTAGAAAAATAATAGCAGATAGATATTTTTGGCCAAATATGAATAGAGACATCGGTAATTGGGCCAAAACATGTATAAATTGTCAACGAGCGAAAATACAGAAGCATACAGTATCTAATTTAGGACAATTTGAGATTACTAAACGTTTTGAGCATATACATATAGATTTAATAGGTCCTTTGCCAATCACAACTGAAGGATATAGGTATTGTTTAACCATAGTGGATAGATTTACACGTTGGCCAGAAGCTTTTCCTATAAAGGAAATGACTGCAGAAGTAGTCGCAAAGACGTTATACGAGGGTTGGATTAGTCGTTTTGGTTGTCCAGTTAAACTTACAAGCGATCAAGGTCGACAATTTGAAAGTAACTTATTTAGACAACTAATGTTATTAATGGGAATTAAAAAGTCAAGAACCACCCCGTATCATCCTCAGTGCAATGGAACAGTAGAACGTTGGCATAGATCGTTGAAAACTGCAATTACAGCTCGTTTAAGCAATAAGTCTTGGGTAGATGAACTGGCAACTGTAATGTTAGGATTACGCACGACAATTAGGTTAGATACAGGCGTAACCGCTGCACAAATGCTGTATGGTAATAATATTAGATTACCTGGTGATTTTTATGATGGAAGCAATGTGAAATCGTGTGATGATAATGATTACGTTAGCAAGTTAAAAGGAGTTATTGACGAATATAAACCGTCTAGTAGAGAAAATAAATCATCACGTAAAATTTTTGTGCATAAAGATTTGTATACGTGCGATTATGTTTTTGTTCGAAATGACGCAGTAAGGAAACCGTTACAACCTCCTTACGACGGACCATATCGCGTCATTAATAGAACTGATAAAGTTTTTTGTGTACAATTGCCAGACAGACAACTTAGAGTTTCTATAGACCGTCTTAAACCTGCATTTATGTTAGCAGAGGATAATGTACAACCGGAAGTAGTAGATAATAGTGGTAAAACTGTCTGTCAAAAAGTTCAGAAAAAAGTAACTTTTCAAACAGCCGAACCCAGTAGCTTTGGTTATACTACGAGAACAGGACGAGTCAGCAAAAAGCCAATGAAGTATTTGTAACAATTAATTTTGCTGATTAGACAATAATTTAACTAGGACATTTGGTTATATAATTACGTGTTAATATGAAATAGAAAATGTATTATAAATTCATTTAGTGTTTGATACCTGTACGTCGTAGTTGATTAATTAGGAAATGGGCAACTTACAGACAAAGGACAAAGTTGTTGTTAACGAAAATATATCCAGCACAGCTCAAGTAGATAACAAGTTGAATATGATTGGTATCGTTATGATAATTATTATAGTACTACTGATTATAGTGATTGGATATGCATTAAAACGAAAATGTGCTAAAGGCGTCAGGAAATGGTTGAAGAAAGAAATGGTTGCTAGTTCTATAACCTTACCAAATATTAAGGTAGAAACTATGCAACCGCCGCAAATTAATAATGGAACGTCTGCACCTCATAAAGTGGTTTACTGATTATTGATCGAGAAATCTTCGTGCATTCATGTTATTAAGTGTGTATGTGATTGAAATTATTTTGTAACGATTTAATAGTGTGTGTTATATTTTGCTATTCGGTCATAGAACAAGCTGCATGGTTTGTGTTGTTGGTGTCCGGCCACAACGATGTCAAGAAAGGATAACAAAATGTAACCTAAACATATTATATTATATGCGTAATATAAGAATAAATAATTGTGTTAAAGTCATGGTAAATTAATATTTAAGTACGCTGCTGATATCTAAATTTTAAATAGCGTGATAATGAATGTTAAAACTTTTGTCGCTATTACAATGTTGGAATGTATTCACAGGCTTATCGCATAACAATACATAGCATAGTACTCATATTAAGTTGCAAACTGTTGATTGAGCAGAAAGATGATGTCACCTTTGGTGACAAAGTAAATTCACAAGAAATATTGTTTGATAAATATACTGATTAGAATTAAGATTTTGTGTTGTAAAAAAAATATATAAATATTTTTTTTAAAAAAAAAGAGGGAAATAGTGTTGCGGGAATGCTGACGCAACGTTTTGAGTTATCGGGACTGTAGTGCGCTGTGAACCACAGTTGTCCCGTGGTCGTCTTGTATACCGTACTACAGCACACCCATATATATTGTATACAGTCGTGATTAATAAATTTAAATAAGTTGTTCATAGACTTATTATTTCTCTCTGTACATATACGCAACCCCAGTAATAAAGGAACAAAGTAACGACCAGTTACAAAAGTATTTTAGTCTCCCCTTGTGAAATATTTTCCCATTTTCTAATGTGAGAGGGGTGGGCCTCCTGGCCCATAACATAGGTGTCCTAGTTTGTGCTCCTGACACCCACAATTATTTTACTTCAAATGGAATGATCTAAACATTTTTATGTAGTAAAAAAAAAAACAAAATAATATTGTAATTTGCCAATCCATAGTACACCTTATATTCTGGTATACATGTATGAATATATGTATATTTATAAATATATTGTTTTATTTATTATGTGATGTGTATGTATAAGTTTATGTATATAGTGAACGGTGTACCTACATTTTCATTGATATGTAACCTCTGTGCACCTACCTTATATGATTTCTACACCATCCAAAGGTTGACTGGTATTTCTCTACCTCGAGCATTAAGTCTGCCCATGTACAAAAGTAATTATGATATTTTTTTTTGTGTGATTGAAGTAAACATTATTAAGACCTAATCTGTGGAACAAATTGTCACCTGCTGTTTTCCTGGACCGGTACAAACTCCTAAGTCAGAAAAGAGTGTACTTCTTCCTCAAAGCCCAGCAACTGAGTTGAGGGAATCTTAAGTTTCAGGTATCCATGGGCTGTGATTATCACTTGCCATCAGGTAACCATTATGGGCCTCAATTCTGCTATTTTAATATTGTATTAATATACTGTTGATGGAATGTTGTAGGAATAGTTTTGCACTTTTCCTATTCTACTAACTATGTAAGATCAATGGCCTAAGGAAATGAAATGATATTTTAATTCTGTAAGTAAATCTTTTCAGATATTTTTACAAGTCGGACTTTACAGCTAGATGGAGCCGGCATTTCCTAAGACTCACTCTGGGAAGAAACTCCAAAACAAACACCAGAGGTGTCTTTTTTTTAGTCCATAAACAAAGTTAAAGACAACTGTGCTAGTACAGTGCAATGACTTTCTAACACTTTGGTAAACACTACATTTTAAAATTATAAGAAAATGATATGTTTAATTTTCCAGGTATGGCAAATGTTGTTGATATCACCATTGATGACCTATATTACTATAAAGACAGTGTATTGACACTGTGGATTTATGTTAATAGAATACTGATATTTTGACCAATGTTAATCAATGGCATCTCCATAACATGGCAATGGAATGACAATGGCTTGATGTTAACATAAAATAGCAGAATCGAACCCCTAGTGGTTTGCCCCCTAGCTAAAACAAAAAGCATTCCTAATAGTTTTGTAATGTTGTAAGAATCCACAGTTTGAGTTATGAGTAGTATGAGGAAAAACAACAATATCTAATTAAAGAAATATACAAAAATATAAAAAAACATATTCATTATTGAAATGCTAGATAATTAGTGAGCATTTTTATGTAATAACTAGCTACATGCAATGGAAACCAAATTATATAATAGCTTAGACTTATCTTCATGGCAACTTCCAAATACAACAACACAGAAACATACATTTACAGGACTGTCTAATGAAGATGCACCAAACTACAGAGTAATTGCACAACCGCACGGATGGCGTAGTGGTTAAACGATCGCCTCGCCTGTTTCTATTACGCTGAGTGTTGTTGGTTCGATCCCTACATGGGACAACACTTTGTGTGATCCACAAATTGTTGTTCTGAGTTTGGTGGTCTTTGTGTCCGTTTCATTAATGTTTGTAAAGTCCCTTGTGACGCAGGACGTATTATTCCTAATGCGGGAGTCCTGTATAACACAATGAAAGTTCTCACAATGATTGGTCTCTCATGCTGCCCTCCAAGCATGATTACCTCCCCTGCTTGGATTATCTTCACTTTGTGATGTAGGGACATAATAACCATTACTCTGTAATAGGTTATTCATATGAATTTTATACGGTTTTTGTAGATGAGCAACCATGTATAGAGGCCGCTCCATGCTCCATCCTGTACCAGGCGAATTTCGACACGAACTTCGAAGACCGCAATGGCTTTGTTACCGGTATTGCCAAGTATATTGAGGAGGCCACAGTGCATGCTAACTTGGTAAGTGGAATTATAAGCTCACTTGATAAACTGACCAGCAATTATCATGTTTAATATTAACAACTGGACACGTATACATGACCATCTGATCCCGAGACTGAGCATACAGCAAAAGCTAACCGATGGACATAGCCTACGTAGTATATGGCACGTCCCTCAATTTGAGAAATTTCGTTTTCCTGCTTCAAATTCATCATCATCATAAACAGCCTTTAATAGTCCACTGCTGGACATAGGCCTCTCCTTAGAAAGGAGGTTTTGGCCTACTATATCACGCTGGCCAGACGGGTTGGTATACGGTTAGTGTCAAGTTTTCCTTCTCTCTGCAGTGCTGTTGTCCTGCGTGGTTTGCTCCTTCTATGGAGAGGCCTATGTTCAGCCGTGGACCGTTATAGGCTGTTGATGAACTGACTTGGAAAATTAATGGCGGTTTTGTATTCTATATGCTATATGTTTTTTGCTCTTTGCGATTTTATACAATATTTTCTTATTTGAAATCTTATATGTTTTGTTTTGCACAAGTTTGAAAAAAAACCCACCAGTAATTGCTGAAAATTATGGAATGAGGTGTACAGTTTATTTTAATTCATCATGATGTAGATTAGAGATGCTTTGAAGTTGTGGACGCTTTTTAAAATGTTGAATGTTGAGGAGGTAACTCCTAGAACGAACTGTTAGAAGAAGGTAATGCTCATGCGGTGATGCTGTACACCTGGCGGTGCTGCAGCCGCGCTATCCCTCAGCCCCGGTCCAACGAACAGCCGGACAGGGTGCACATCTATGAGAGGACTGTACAGGTGTTGGCGCCAGAAGTGGACAAACTGCTGCAGTTCATGTATTTCCAGGTATCGTACAAAATACAAAAGTATTTCTAGGAGGTGGAGGACATGTCAAATAATAATATTCTACCACATACACACAACGCCATCTAGTCCCAAACTAAGCAAAGCTTGTGCTATGGCTACTAGACAACTGATATAAATACATATATAGTTTTTTTTAGTAAATACATACATATTATACATAGAAACACCCAGACGAAATCAAACATTAAATGTTCATGCACACAAATGTTTGAATCGAACCTTTGGAATAGCAGTTCGTTACACAAACCACTACGCCATACATACATATCATAGATAAATTACACCCAGACACAGAACAAATGACCATGCTCATTTGTTTGATTTTTTTATTTGTCCTGGATGGGAATCTAATCCACGACCTCTGGCTAAGCAGTCAGGTCTCTAACCACTAGACCAACAGGCCCGTCGTTACTACTTACTATCTACTGATTGTATCTACAGCGAAAAGCGATAGAACGCTTCTGCGGTGAGGTCCGCCGTCTGTGTCACGCGGAGAAACGGCGCGACTTCGTCTCTGAGGCGTATCTGCTGACCCTTGGCAAGTTCGTGAACATGTTCGCCGTGTTGGACGAGCTGAAGAACATGAAGAGTTCCGTCAAGAATGATTATTCGACGTACAGAAGGTAGAGTTGTGTGTTTGTTAAATCTAATTGTTGTTTTAATAGTAGACTGCACGGATGGCGTAGTGGTTTAAGCGGTCGCCACGCCGCTCCCTACTACGCCGAGTGTTGTGGGTTCAAATCCCACATGGGACGACACTTTGTGATCCACAAATTGTTGTTCTGAGTCTGGGTGTTCTTTGTGTCCGTTTCATGTATTTTTGTAAGATTCCCCGCGACACAGGATATTTTCCTAATGCGGGAGTTGTTTTTTCAAAAAAAGAAAAGAAAAGAATAGTGATATCATGACCGCCTGACGCCTTTTGTAACAGAAATTGTTTAACCTTATTTTTAAAATTAATGAAACAAGTAATTTTTATTAAACTTTGGGGAGATGATGGAATTGAAATGCATGGAATTTTCTAGACCCTCGTGCAAGCCTGGCCCCTTCACCTCGGTTTTAAACGAGTATTATTGTTACAGAGCTGCCCAGTTCCTCAAGGTGATGTCTGACAGCCAGAGCCTGCAAGAGTCGCAGAACCTATCCATGTTTCTGGCCACCCAGAACAAGATCAGGGATACTGTTAAGGATGCTCTCGAGAAGATCAACGGTAAGAGTAAAAAGAGATGGTCGGTTATCGCGGTAAAAAGTAGTCTATATAACTCGCTGATGACGTAACTTTCCATTAGCTAAAGATTTTTTTAAATCGGTTTATTGGTTTAAGCGTGTAGGCGTAAAAACACAAACAAACTCACTTTCACATTGAAAATTCATGTTTATCTGCAGTCTGGCTACCATAGTACAGGCTCTGTCTAGTTCGGAACCTTGCGTATCTTTGATAGTCCACTGCTGCACATAGGCCTCTTCTTAGAAAGGAGATTTTGGCCTACTATACCACACTGGCCAGACGGGTTGATATAGGGTTTGTTTCAAGTTTTCCTTCTCTTTGTAGTGCTGTTTTATTGCAGAGTTTGCTTCCTTAGTCGGCTCTTACGACAAGCTAGAGATTCACTTCCCTTCGCGGCACTGTGCGACTAACGTGTGACTTCATATGCTAACAATTTAAATATTGTTTTCTGTGTTTTTCTGCGACTAGTTCCCGGTTTGCGGGCGGCTAAAGGTTGTGTATAGTGTTTTAAAGAATATCAGTAAGTTTTTATTGTTTTTTAAACAGAAATATAGTGCTGAATTATTTTATTACGACTATTGGTGAGTAAATTTATTTTCTTTCTAAAAGTGGGTAAGAGGTATCCTTTGTTTATATTGATTTTTCTCTGCGTATTGTTTATTTTTAAACTTGTTCCTTTTGAAATTGTTGTTTGGTGTGTCTTTGTTTGGCTATGTCGGTCGTTAGCGAGTTGCCGGACCCCGGCGGTACAAGTGAATTTCTAACACCAACCGGGAAAAGGACATTTAACGAAATGTCACCTACGGATTTCTCGCCGAAAGACAATAGAAGTAAACGAATTAATAATTCGGATTTAAGTGGAAATGTTTCGTCTCTTAACGGTCGTGATAACTGTGGGGAATACAATTACTGCGAGTTAGTCTCACAGGCTACCGAGTACTTGGCAAAAATCAATGAATTAGTTAATGATCAGGGATCTCGGATGAATGTAGGTAATAAAACGGCAATTATGGATATTACTCAACGAATTACCGGTATCGTATCTTTGTTAGCAATAAAATCCTCTAGCAACGAAACGAAGTTAGCGAATTTTGAGCGACAAATGGAGGGTATCGCAACTCAACAAACGAGTTTAACGTACGCGGACAAACTTAAGCTTCGATTACCACCTAAATCTGCTCCGTGCCCGGTACCTACTGAAGCGCGCGTTCCTAGGCCTTGTGTTATTGCCTATCCCACTACGGAACGCTTAGCGGACTATGCGACCTCGTCAGCAACGAAACAAGCTCTCATGAAGGCTATTAAACCGAGCGATGAGGGATTTCAAATTGTAGGCGTTAAAAAAACCTCTAAGGCAGGCGTCGTGTTACGTGTAGCTAACGAACGGCAGCTTTAGAAACTGGAATCTGTGGACGCCATTAAATCAGTAGGGTTGCGCTTAGAAAAACCGAAAGGCCGTAGGCCCCGTATAATTGTAAAAGACGTACCCGGTTCTATGGAAGATCGTGCCTTCCTAACAGCGTTATACCGTCAGAATATCAAGGACGAATTAAAATTAAGTGAGAATGATTTTATTAAGTCAACCAAAATTGTTAGGCATCGTAAACTAGAAAATGGGCGTCAATGGATAGGCTTAGAATTAGAGGCAGCAGTTCGGAAACATCTAGCCAACACAAAAGATAAACTTTATATAGACTGGGCCACATGTAGATTCATAGACGATATAGAAGTAGTTCGTTGCTTAAATTGTCAGCAATTCGGTCATGTACAAAAGTTTTGCACTATTAAAACCCCTACTTGTGCTAATTGCGCCGCCGCACACGAAACGCGAGCTTGTCCAGATAAAGACACACCAGATTTTAAGCCCACGTGCGCACAGTGTAAGCGGTTCAAAAAACCATCTGACCATCGATGCGGCTCATACGACTGTGCCACATACAAATTAAAACTGGAACAGCTAATATTAAATACCAATTACTGAATAGTTTAACTTAGTTTAAAAAAAAAAAAAAAAAAAAAGTTTAAAGAGTAACTTACTAAGTAATGAATAGTATTTCGATAGGCCAGTTAAATCTTCATAACGATAAAATAGCTACATCAGAATTAGACCGTTTAATTTTAGAACAAAAGTTAGACATTGTCCTTTTACAAGAACAATATCAGAGCGCTCACTTGCGTCGTAATGTAGTACAGCTTGACTGCCGTTCGCAGGCTGGGATATATGTTGCAAGTTCTGATTTTACGGTAACATCTTTGCGTAATCTTATGACGTCACACTGCGCCGTTGCTGAGATCTCATCCTCTACCTGTAAGGTTTACGTAGTGAGCTGCTATTTTCAATATTCACATCCTATTGATCCTCACTTACATCACTTACGTTACGTCTTGCAGTTCCTCGTGGGACATAAAATTATCATTGGCGCTGATGTCAATGCGTCATCTTCATTATGGTATGGCAAGTTGCGTTCAACCGACACGGTTCGACGTTGTGCGGTTGAAGATTTCATTGCGGAAATGAATCTTATTATTCACAATACCCCCGATGCACCACCAACTTTTTGCAACCCAATGGGTGAGTCTTCTATTGACGTGACGCTTACGCGCGGCGACGTCTCGATATCCGGATGGCGTGTCCTTCCGGACGCATCCTGTAGTGATCACCGTTTGATCGTGTACGAATTCACACCAAGGGTTGCACAGGATCCACAAAGGGCTCCCTATAATTTTAGATATAAAACTAAAGGTGCGAACTGGGCTTTGTTTGGTTCACTCTTTGCAACTCATACCAAAGACTTCAGTCGCAGTAGTTTATCAGCTGAGGAAAGCGCAGAAATACTATCAGAAACTTTTACATACTGCGCTGATGTAACTATTGGTCGCGGATCTATCACTAACACTCGTAGATGTGATTGGTGGAATGATAGATTAGCCGAACTACGTAGAAGCTACCGGAAAGCTCGTAGAAAATTAAACACTATTAAAAAACATAACGAAACAGGAGATTTGTACAACAATGCTCTCATTGCTCTTAGAGTTGCCAGGTCCCACTACAGAGCTGCTGTGGAAAAATCCAAGGGAAACTTAATTCAGAAACTTGTTGATAAACTCGATAGAGAGGGCCCGTGGTCACCTTTGTATCACGAATTTAAGGCAAATAGATCAATCGACCTTGCATACATACAGAACATCAAAATTAATAACAGATATACCACAGGAGTAGAACAAACAGCAGAATATCTTTTAGACTCACTCGTACCTGACGATCGACCGGAAAACGACACTGATCATCACCGACAGATCAGGCAGTGGGCCATCGAACCAACACTGTCTCCAATGTCTGATTTACCATCTTCAGACGAATTTCTCGGTATCATTAGATCCTTGCCGCTAAACAAGGCTTCGGGCGATGATAAAATATCTAACAAAATGATAAAAGAAGCTTGTAAACTTTCGGGTGACACGATTTTCACTGTCTTTAAACGTTGCATTGCTGAAGGAATATTTCCTCGTATACGGCGGTGCGGTAATATTCGTATAATACCAAAAAGTGGCGACAAGCCACCGGATGATCCTAAATCCTACCGACCAATCACATTATTACCATCGTTAGGAAAGCTTTTAGAACGTCTTGTAGTGCCCGGCTTCTGCCAGGTGGAGTCAAATTTCATGATAGACAATTTGGATTTACGTTGGGTAAATCGACAACTGACGCTGTTATATCGGTTAGAAAGTTTGTCACAGAGTCAAAATTTCAATACGTGCTGGCTATTTTCTTAGATATATCTGGCGCCTTCGACAACGCATGGTGGCCCATGCTGTTGCTGAAATTAAAATCACGGGGGTGCTTTAAAAATATTTATTCCCTTATCTCTTCGTACTTTTCACTAGGTACAACTAAACTAAGACTTGGTCATCATTCTGTGTCGAAGGCGCTTACAATGGGATGTCCTCAGGGATCGGTGCTAGGTCCATACTTGTGGAATATCGGCTTCGACGATTTTCTTGCGATACCAATACCATCCGGATGTACTCTGAACGCGTATGCTGATGACGGCTTATTACTGGTGGAATCTGATACTAGGGCGGGGCTTGAGAGATTAGCCAATAGATGTTTGAACTTGATATCTCAATGGGGTGAACGTAATCGCTTAACTTTTGCACCCAACAAAACCTTCCAGCTACTTTTAAAAGGTAACCTCAAATCACCGCCGAGCATTAGATTTGACAATGTTACTGTAAAAAATAAAACTACAGTGTGTTATCTAGGATTAGTTTTAGAAAGAAACTTTTCATTTATCGAACATATTAAAATAGTTAATGAAAAGTCTAAAAAGAGTTTCTGTGCATTGACAAGGATATCAACTGCGACATGGGGTCTATCATTTAATACATTAAAGATCATATACGGAGCTACTTATTTAGGTTCTATGTGCTATGGTGCACCTGTATGGGCCAATAGGGCGACCGTGGGCGCTGTCCGTCGCAAACTGTTACAAGGCCAACGACTTGCACTGATATTCTTGTGTAAGGCATATAGGACGGTTAGCACTGAGGCTTTGCCGGTGTTGGCGGGTGTCCTTCCGGTCGATCTCGAGGTGCAGAGACGTGCAGCCATGTACTATTCAAGACAACAAAACATGGAATGCGATTTTTTGGGCGCGCGGGATCGCGGTAAAATTACAAGATTGCTTCAACAGCAGCCCGATGTCTATAATGACCTCATAGACGAATGGCAACAACGCTGGGATGAATCATCCAAGGGGCGCCATCTTTACCAATTCTTTCCATCTGTTCGCGAACGGTTGTCGAGGATATGGCTTGAGGTAGATCACTGTGTCGCTCAATTTCTTACGGGTCATGGTAACTTTAAGAGCAAGCTTTATTCATTTAAATTAGTCGAGTCACCATTGTGTCAATGCTCAACACCTAACTCTCACTATGAACAGTCTGCTCATCATATCCTCTGGGAATGTAGTCTTTGGTATAATGAACGTAATATAATGCTGAATAGCTTGCAGGTGACATCTGGGGCTGTATACTATGGGGATCTTGTGTCAACTAGGGTGAATTTCCGTGCGTTTAGGCGATTCTGCCATACATATTATAGAAATCAAACATAGCTCACGTAGGACCCGTAATATTTGTGGCCGTGGTGCTTCCCTGTTTAAAAGGGTGTATGCCCATTTTACTTCATTTTGTCTCCCGCTTTGCTAAGGAGGGAAGTGGATTTACTGTATTTCCAACTCCTCCAATTTTCTTCTGATTAATTTCGTTGCGGGTTCCAAGACAGTTTAATTTCTTCCTGGGACTTCCCGAGTGTCATAACTCGGTGTGTTCGTGGGTCACTGCTGTGGATCCTGGTGTACAGGAGTTACAGTGGTGGGCGTGTGGGTGGGATTAGTCCCATTACATATAGATAAATACACATACATACACACATACATAAATATTATATATATATAATATACATATACATACATATACACAACATATATATGTATACTTACAATCCAAAATATATACTATATATAATGAAACCAACAGTATTTAGAATGTCTAATAAAAATCCTTACTGTACTAGAAAAATACCGTTTATGACATTTGGAGATGGATAGTATTTTTTTACACTTTTTAATTACTATTTTTCTCAGGCAACTCGTTATAATTATACATCTGAAGAAAAATTCGCCATGATTGAAGTCATAGCCATGATCAAGGGCCTGCAAGTTCTCATGGCTCGAATGGAGACGGTGTTCGCTGATGCTGCTAGGAGGTCCATATATGCGGAGCTCCAGGACTTTGTTCAGCTCGTCCTGAGGGAACCGCTTCGGAAGGCCATTAAGAACAAAAAGGATCTTATAAGAAGGTAACCTTCATACATTCATACATACAACCACCCTTGTATCCTCAAAGGAAGAGTTATACTGTGACACGTATAGACCGTCTCGTGTAGTGTGACTGGAGGCCCATACCCTTCGCCCCCATTATTCTTGAGGGAAGGGACACTCAAAGCCAAATCACAGTTGTGTTTGCAATCTATTCGCTAACCATTTAAATGTATCTAAGTTTTGCAAACTAGTTTTTGTTATTTTCTAGTATTGTAGTGTCAGTCCGTGAGACATGCGGTGACTGGGCGCGAGGCTGTGAGCCCCAGCAGGATCCAGCTCTTCGTGGAAAGAAGGATGGGGAGGCCAGCTTTACCATCAAAGTGCCTAGGAGGAACGTAGGTAAGTGGGAAAGGAGGAACAAAAAAATAATCATTCGTTTTTATTTTTGTTATGTTTGTAACGTCAGAATTCAATTTCATATTTGTATTTTTTTAAATTAATTAAAGTAATTTAAAGAAAACGTACCACCAACCATAGAACTGGTGTGGTGACGGATTAAGAATACAGAGTGTCACCACCCCTATTCATCCCATGTGTGTCGTAAGAGACGAATAAGGGAAAAAATTACGCAGAACAACAGCACTGCAGAGAGAAGGAAAACTTGACACAAACCCTATACCAACCCGTCTGGCCAGCGTGGCTTATGTCCAGCAGTGGACTGTTAAAGGCTGTTGATGATTGATGACTATCCAAATACGACAATTGCTGTAGAGAATAAATTCCAGAACGAAAATCGTGGCAATTCAAATAATATATATTTACATATTTATCCTGGCCCTGTTAATAAAGAAATGAAAATGGTGTCCTAACAAATATTCCTCTTCAACAGGTACGTCTTATACCCGCTGGATTTGTACAACGACTCGGCGCAATACGCTCTCACTGTCTTCAAGAAACAGTTCTTGTACGACGAAGTCGAGGCTGAAGTCAACTTGTGTTTCGACCAGTTTGTCTACAAGTTGTCCGAACAAGTCTACTCGCATTATAAACAACTCGCTTCCAGGTGAGATTTGTTGACTGACCTGTTGAGTTAGCGGTTATTGATTCTGTTTGCTAAGTTAGAGGTCATGGGTGCATGATCATTTCACATCACATCACACATCAACAGCCTATGATAGTCCACTGCTGGACATAGGCCTCTCCTATGAAAGGAGGTTTGATCATTTCTTCTGGGTATAATCTATCTATATATATATATAAGAGATTTCCACGTATATAGTCACTCACCACGATATCTCTGGCACCATTAGAGCTAAAGACTTGAAATTTGGTAGGAATATTCTTTTCACCGAGTAGAGGTCAGCTAAGAACGGATTTTAAGAAATTAAAAAAAATTATGTAAGTAGCAAAACAACGTTTGCAGGGTCAGCTAGGTTTATCTATAAAATGTATGACTGCACGGATGGCGGAGTGGTTTAAGCAAGCGGTCACCTCACCGCTTACTACTACGCTGAGTGTTGTGGGTCCAATCCCTCATGGGACGACACTTTGTGTGATCCACAAATTGTAGTTCTGAGTCTGGGTGTTGTTTGTGTCCGTTCCATGTATCTTTGTAAAGTCCCCCGCGACACAGGATATATTCCTAATGCGGAAGTTGTCTATTTAAAGAAAAAAATTGTATGTATTTAGTAATATATTAGAATTTTTATCATCAATCTGGTGATAATAACACAGGCTTGGTCTAATTTAGGATAAGAAGGTCCTACGTAAGATAGATGGATAGATAGGTACTCTTTATTGCACACCATAAATAGGATACATACGATGATACATACAAAAAAACAGTGATACAAAGAGCGGCCTTATCGCAGTCTGCGATCGCTTCCAGGCAACCTTTAGTAGATGAGCTATACTATATAGTAATATGGAGCGTGTGCTGCGCATTTACAACTTCCGTATATTAGAAAGAAAGAAAGAAAGAAAATACGTTTATTAGTCACAACACGCACAGCCAAAAAAGGAATTACAGATATAACATAGAAGAGAAAAAGAAAAGAAACAATTTGCTCAACTGAAGAATAGCACATACAATAACAAAAACAAACAAGTACAAAAGAATAAAATCACATCACTGTGTGTGACTAAAGGGCCACAACTCAGCCTATGTTATAGTCCCTAAAAGTGACCACAGCGCTGATTTTCAGCTGAAGCCCAAAGGTACCTCACGGACGTGTGCACAGTTCAATTACAATAAACAATATGTGAATACAATAAACATATAAATAAAAGTGATAATTACATACATTAATTACATAACATACATTCTGTTAATATAATAAAGATATCAAAAACTAGTTAGTTGGAAATTTATAGATATAAGAGCAGAGAACAATTTTTTATTTATTTATTAAATAATGTTAGCAATATTGCGAGGACTAATTCTACAATTACAAGGTGCTGGATTTTTGTACGGTCAAAAGCAATACCTTTACTTTTGATTTAAAAGTTTTACAACTCACAAGGTTACGGAGTGGCGGTGGCAAATTATTCCAGCATTTTGTTGCACTATACCGGCATCCTCCTCTGAACGCTGTTGTTCTGTGTCTAGGTATGTGTAGTGGTGCAGACCCTTCTCTGCTACTGTACTTTTTGCCCACACCCATCCAGTCTAGTTTGGTGAACAAATATTGTGGCGTTTTATATTTGACGAGCCCAAATAAAAGTGTAGCTAAATGAAGCTCCCTCCGCCGCTGCATCTTTAAAATACCAGCTGCGTTCAGATATGGTGTAACATGGGCTCGTCTTGGAATATTAAAGCAGTAGCGCGCACACGCGTTCTGCACTCTTTGTATTAAACTAGACGTTCTAGCTAATAGCCTAGGACCATATACTACATCGACATAATTAATCTTCGATAACACTAGCGAGTCACATAATTGTATACGCAGGTCAGTACTTATGTAATCGCGAATTCTGTATAACAATTTAAGCCGGTAAAAACAATTCCGTACTACGTCACAGATATAATGTTCAAACCTAAGCTCTTCGTCCATAACTAACCCCAAATTCCGCGCTTCTAGCACACGGTCTATACGGCACCCGTTAATTTGTATTTGAGGGTCTAAGCTACATATTTTTTTCACTTGATCCTTAGAACCCATAATCATAAATTTAGTCTTGTTCGAATTAAGTAACAGAGAATTATTCAAAGCCCAGTTATATATATTATTTAGATCTTCATTAATTCTATCCACTGCATTTAGAGTTTCGTTAGGCTTAAAAGATAAGTATATTTGAACATCGTCAGCATAAATATGAAATTTGCAAAATTTAATCACTTTCACCATGTCAGCACTAAAAATAATAAATAGAAGCGGTCCCAAGACCGAACCCTGAAAAACAGCAGTGATGAATGCGTGCCCAGTGATTATGCCTACCGAGTCCACAGAAACACTACGTACAGGTGCGCTTGAGCAAATAATATCAATTAAGGAATTACTACTATTTGTAAAATGAGTCGGATCCGAGACTACTTGTGTCAATCCAGTGCAATCTAAAAATATATTAAATAAATTTGTCTTCGTATCAGTTTTATTATTTAAATCAATGTTAAAATCGCCTAATAATATTAAAATGTCGTAATTTGATAGAGCACCAATGGAATCCATAATAGCATTCAGAAAGACATTCGTATCGAGCCATGGCGGTCTATAGGCTGTCCCTATAATCACTCTGTTATGGTTTACTTTAACTCTTAACCACAGCTGTTCAACGGACCGGTGAACTGGATGGCCGAAAGTGGTTACGGTAAGGCCACGTCTTATATAAAAGCCTACACCACCGCCACGTCCTTCGCGAATCGATCTGGAACCGCTGGCGCACGTGCCTCTTCACCACTCCGCAACCAAGTTTCATTTATAGCGACGATATCAGCTGCTTTGTGCTGCATTGCTACCACAAAGTTATCATGATTTGTACCTAAAGATCCGGCGTTTAAAAACCCAACTTTAAAGTGTTTAGAAGCCATGAGTATTTACATTTAGTAAAACTTTCCTTAAAATAAAATAGCAAATAATAAAAAAGAACATTATACTTGCACATACGGAATGTGTATAGATAGCGCAGTAAATATATATAAAATATAGCCAAGTAGACAAATACATAAATAATAAAAAAGAACATTATACTTGCACATACGGAATGTGTATAGATAGCGCAGTAAATATATATAAAATATAGCCAAGTAGACAAATACATAAATAACAGCAGCAACAACATTCGCGTAAGTTAGGTCTAAGGACTTCAACCAAATATCCTTCACCAATAAATGAGCAATAACCTCATTACCATACAATGCACACAATACACGTAATAAATACTCTCATTTCGAGCCTAATAAACGGTACAGTCTCTTACAATTTTCATGAGATTTTGATGAGATTAATTATTAACACCTTTTTAAAACTAAGAACTATGTTTAATTTTTTTTTGTACTTTTTTTAGGTTGTATATTAGAAATCACACATTAAATTGAGTCTTACTTGGCAGGCTTATGCCTTAAACAATAATTAAGTAATGTTAAACTCTGATTCTTTAGAAATATTGCACATTTTTGCCTAGAGAAACTTAGCGTGAACTCAACCAACATCTCACTCATTTATCTTTAGTCTCACTCGCTCATGAAACAAAGATTGGCGTCGTTGAGCTAGTGATCTAGTGAGAAGAAACTCAAGAAATCAATCATGAGAAAAGCCGAAAAATGTTCACGTTTCTTCTTCAGAGTAAATAACTCTTTCTTAATTTTATATTTTATTTTCCTTCAAAATACAACTCCACACAAGGAATATTAATATAAAATATCCTGTGTCGCGGGGGACCCAGCACAATTAGTGGGTCCAGTAGCAAGCGGCGAGGAGGCCGTTTAAACCGTCATCCGTGCAGAAATAAAAACAACATTTAAGTATTTTATTGTTTTATTATTACATTTAAATATCAAATTGTACACAATATATTACATTACAAACACAAAGCCAAACTCTGCAAATATAACATTTTATACAAAATAATTACGAATCGTATGTGACACATTCCGAAGCAGTTTTATGACTCAGATATGAGAGATCATTGTCACAGCCTAGACGACCACTGGCTACAATTCCCGCCATCTTTAATAAATGAACAAAGAGGTAACACCTCATAATACACTAATACGGAGTATCACACCATACATCTAATATTACAACTTCTAACACAAAAGCTAACATAGCACTTACAAAAAGAAATTAAACAAATTATTTTTTGTCTGTCAAGAATAACATAAAAATTTGTTTTTAAACTTTCCAGACTTGTACATACGGGACTTAAAGCTATAAAATTTATAAGCTGCATCCACCATTGACCAAAATACGTGCAATTCGTTCGAAATTATCGTGATTTACACATATTTTGAGATGAACATTACTATCCATAGGAGATGTGCCATTTACTACACTAGCGCCAATGTGGTAGGTTCTTGAACTGTTAATAACTGCTTACAAGCCCATAATTGTTCATTACTAGTTGCTTATCTACCCTATTTACATAGAAACTTTTAGGAGAAATCTTTTTAAGTTAGCAACCCTGCAAATAGTTTCTCTGTGGCATCGCCATTTTATTACAAAAATTTCCTTTTCATATATTTATTGCAATGCAATAAAAGTTCAACTTAAGATTTTTTTTAATTTTATAAAGTAATTCCTGTCATTATCTAGAATTGATAAAAATTCTTAAATATAACTTCAGGTGAACTACGACTAAAAATTAAGTTTAAAAGAACACGACTGGGTATGATGTAACTTAAGATTATGTGAGTTGAAAGTCTTAACTTAAAACATTAAATACTAGAGTTCGTGCACGTAAAATGTTTGCAACATACGTCAGACCCGAAGTTGCCGTCTTCTAAATCCTTTACCAGTCAAAATAAAACACTGGTATCACTAAATTCCCTATAAAATTTGGGAGTGCCCTCAAATTAGCAACACTGCGTCGAACGCGGCCAGAATAGTACTAAAGGGGAAAAAAAAAAAAAAAAAATTTAAAAAAAAAAGGGAAAAAAAAAAAAAAAAAAAAAAAAAAAATAAAAACCCAAGAGCGGGCAAATTAAACCCGGGTTTTTCAATTTTTTTATTTTATTTTCCAATCAACATTTTTTAAAAGTTTTTTAAATACACCCCAAATTTGAAACCCCCTAAAAACTGGGGGTTTTTTTTTTAAAAAAAAGTAAAGGAAAATTTCCAAATTTAAAAAATTTTTAAAAATTTAAGGCTTTCCATTAGAAAATGAAATGACCTTATGTTTTTTGCTTTTTACCCCCTTTTGTTAAAACCCGGGGTTTTTAACCCAAATTTTTAATTTTTTTCTTACAACCTTTTTTTTGGTACTTTATAAGGAAACACCCAAAATTTTAATCAAAAATAACCTACCGTAAAAAAATTTTGTATTTTTTAAAAAACTAAATATGGTTTTTAAACTTTTTTTTTTTAAATTTTAAAACTTTAAAAGGGTTTTTATCAAAGGGTTTTTTTAAAATTTTAAAAGAAACATTTTTAAAAAATTCTTTTCATTATTTAAAATCCCTTTTGCCCCCGGCGTCCTTTAACCCAAATTAAAACTTTTAAAAAAAACAAAGGGTATCACTAATAAAGGAAAACCCTTTAAAATCCGGATCTAAAAATTTTTTAAACATTTATTTTTTACAAACATGCCCCCAAAAAAAGAAGGTAATTTTTTTTTTTTCGGGGTAAACTTTTAAAAGGTTTCAATAAGTAATTCATATTTGTTTAAAAAATTTTGGTTTTTTAAAAATTTTTCCCTTTTTGCCCTTTGTTAAAATCTTTTTTTTAAAAGGAAAAGTTTCGAAATTTATTTACATTTTGGTTTTTAAAAAAAAAAGGGAAAGAAAAAGAAAACTTTCCTTTTAAAAAACCTTTCGAAAATATAAATTTTTCCCCAAAAACATTTTTCCGGGCTTGCCCTTAAAAAAATAAGGGGTTTTTTGGGGGGGGGCCCCGCTTAACAAGGGGCCCTTTTGGGAAAAAGTGTAAATAAAACCCCCCCATGTTTTCCCTTTTTATAAAATATTTACGTTTGGAAAACTTTTTATTTAAATTTAAAAAAAAAAAAAAAAAATAATTTTTTTTTACACCCAATTTTTACCCTTCTGCCCCGGTGGGGGAAAAATTTTGTTTTTTGGCAAACCAAAAAACCAAAAACCCTTTTTTCCCCCCATAACCTCAATCACTGGGTGAAAAGCAAAACCCTTTTTCTCCGGTTTTTTTGTGAGGGGCATATTTTTATCATTTTTCGAGCCGGCCCTAAAAAAATACATAATAAAGTAGGCCATTTTGGGCCCGTTTTGTACTCTCCATCCCTTTATAAAAGAAAATTTTTTGAGGTTTTTTTTATCAAAAACTTCTGAAAGCTGTCAGATTTTGGGCAAATTGGGGGCTTTTATCCTCCCTATCACGAAATTTCTTTGCAGAAAGTATGATAAAAAAATTTTCTACCCAAAAGCTGAAAATTTGGGAAGCAAATTCCCTCATAAAAAAAAATTTAGGCATTTTTATCTGTCGGCTTCCCTACTACATACTAAATACTGTCATATCATTTAAAAAAAATAAAACGATAAAAAAATCAAAAAAAATTTCAGTTTTTTTTTTTTCCCAAAAAAAAATTAATATTGGTTATAAAGATCAAATTTTTGGGGGTTTTTTTTCAATACCAAAACAGTTATAAAGAAAACCCGGGGTTCCAAAACCCTTTTTTGAAACCCCGGGGTTTTTTTGTTTTTTTCGATTGTTTTCCCATTTAAAAATATTAAAAAGGGGTATATCCCCAAGGTCTTAGGTATGTTTCCGTTACTCCCCCGTAATATCTGCTTTGTACAGAGGTAAATTATGGAATTTTCACGATAAACCCCCGAACCCGTTTTTTTTATCCCTTCCTTAATCTACATTTGTTTGGGGTCACTGGGCCCGATTGTGATCCACCAGAAGCTATACCAAAAGGTACTTGAAAAGCTTTAAAAATGGCTAAAATTCCCTTTTTCAAAGGGGGGACCCGAGCCGCAGAAAGTCTTTTGCAACACAAAACAGATGAAAAAAACGGAAAACAAATAGGGGACTAACTTTCCCCTTTTCGTGAAGCCGTTTTTGCGTTAGCCCTACCCCTTAAAGGGGTTTCGACCCTTCCCCCATATTTCCTATGGGTGTTTTGGGGTTTGGGATCTTCCCCAACTTAGAAAAGCCGACCAGAAATGACTGGGAAAAGAGTCCAAAAGTATATTACGAA